TATGCATTGCCCAAATTTAATCCACTCTGATCCTATGCCTTGGCGTTAAAATCCAAAATTGACACACCCGATCCTATGCATTGGCGTTAAGTCTAAAGTTGACACTATCCGATCCTATGCTTGGCATTAAATTCTATAATTGACATCACCTGATCTTATGCCTTGGCATTGGTTTAAATAGTTTAAATTTACAATGCATGCAAGTATATATATAATAAAAAATCATACATTAATTGTCTCTTAGATTAGACATAAGATCATGATAATTTTGCGTAAGAAAAATAAACGCATAATAATTAGATTGCACATATTATTAGGCCTTGTAATTTGTTCTTAATAAATTTATTTTTTTATTATATATTCAAATCATGAATGATCATCGAATAGTAAATATATATTGAGCTCGATATTGTTAAAATGAGAATTAATACTATATGCATTTAAAATAAGTTACTTATAAATGCGCAATAATTCAAAGTCTCTGTTTTGAGCAATGCCTTTGTTAATATTTATGGGGCTATTGCATTAGTAGTATGCCAATTCACACAATTATATATCTCCCTAAGCACGTAACTAAATATTTTGTGAATATTATATGTAATCGAAAATAAAAAAAGTCATACATACAATTTGTTTGATATTATATTCAATTACATATCAAATGTACAAATGTTTAGGTTGGCGTCTTTAATGCTTCATTAATATACACCTAATGCACTAGCCTCATAAAATAAGACAAGAATACATGCAGTTAAAATAGATGGATACATGTTATTTCACCGATAATCACTTTACTGACAGCTTAGTTTACTGATAATTAATTCATAGACAAGTTCATTTCACCGACAATTATTTCACTGATAGCTCATTTCACTGACAAGCATTTTTTATAACCTTAACTCTAATTCCAACCTGATACTTATAACAATGATCAGAGTTATTTTGTTGGTGAAATGAACTTGCCTGTGAATTAATTGTTGGTGAGCTAAGCTATTAGTGAAATGACTGTTGGTGAAATGCGCACCACTCAAAATAGATAGATACTGTATTTTGTAAAACAGAAAAATCTTCGCGAATAATGAATGCAGTAACTATCAAAGTAATGCAAAAATTGCATCATTTTCTAATCAAGTAAACTAGAAAGCAATGTCAGTATTAAATTAATAATATAACTTATTGCCGCAAAAGAAATATAAAGGGCCACAAATTCATAATGAAATAAAAAATAAATAAACAAAAAAAACCCCCAAATAAAAATATAAACAAAAGTAATCACAAACTTGTAAATTGAGTCGCTCTTAAAAACTTTTTGAATATCCATTCCATAAAATCAAATTGGTTGGCGAGTTGATATATATCTCTTCTAAAAGAATATATAGCATATTTGTCAAAAATAAAGCATTTCAATTTTATCCTTATTTTTTTCACCATACATATTATATCTTCATCTTAAGCAATTCATTATTTGATCGTTACCTTAGAATAAGTGATAAAGAAGATGATCTTGAAGATTCATTTTTTGATTCTAATTGCGAAACCAGTGATAATATATCAATTGGTTCTAGTAACGGGGCTGTTTCAACAGTTCAAAAAAATCAACCTCGTGCAACAAAAAAAAGCAAATTAGTGCACAGGCGAAAATATGCAAAATTCAGTTGGGTATGGAAATACTTCGAAGTAAGCAAGGATGGAATACATGATGTTTGTAAAGTTGAAATTCTTAATTTAAGTGGTGAAAAAGTTAAATGTGAACATAAATTTCTACATAACGGCAGCACTGGGAATATGAGTAGTCATCTTCAAGACAAACATAATCTATATGAAAATAAAAATCAAGTATGCTTTTTATTAACTATTATTTAATTAATATAATATAATATAATAATACTTATCTAATCATTATATAGAATCAAGACCGTGGCATTCAACAAACATTGGAAGAAGCTCTTAAACGAGTAAAGGTTAAGACACATAAGGAACCACAAAACCAAGAAATTCGGCAAGCAATTGCTGAATGGATTATTATTGATAATTTGGCATTTAGTATAGTTACAGGAAAAGGATACAAAAAAATGATGAAAATAGTTGATCCAGCATTTCAACTTCCCTCTGAAAAAAGAATTAAAAAAGAAATTAATAATGCTTATCCTAAAGCAGTTGAAAATTTAAAACAATTATTAGATAATACATGTGAGTCAGCATCCTTAACAACTGACCTATGGACCGCACGCAGTAAACATGGATATTTAGGTATAACAATTCATTGGTTATCAAGTGATTTTAAAGTATATAACTGTCTTCTTTGTATGGAACGTATGCAATATCCACATTCAGCTGAAAGAATCATTACTTTGTTAAAAAAAAAAGTTTTAGAATTTGGATTAGATGAAAAAATAACTTGCATTACAACAGATAATGGAAGTAATATGGTTAAAGCAATTAATTTGTGGGAAGGAGTTGAACGTTTGCCTTGTGCTGCCCATACTTTACAATTGTCAGTTACTCGTGCTTTCAAAAAAACAAATATTTATATTAAAAAAATAAAAAAACTAGTTAAATTTTTTACCAAATCTCCTAAGCAAAGTGAACGTCTTGATGAAGCACAACGAGACTTACATTTACAAATCCAAAGTAATATTTGTCCAACCGATGCATTAAATTCTGGTGACAGTGATTCGTCAGTAAATGGTGCAAATTCTGAAAAACCTATTTTACGTAACATAGCAAAGATAAAGACAAAGTGGAATTCAAAATACCATTCATGGAAACGGCTACTTAAATTGCGTAAAGCAGTTGAATGGTTACATGTAAAGCTATCTTTATCTGACAATCCAGATGATCAAGCTGACGGTCAAAAATTAAAAAAGCTTCTTCTTTCACCATATGAGTGGGATCTATTAAATCAAATTATTACTTTGTTAGAACCATTTGATGATGCTACTACTTATTTTAGTGGGTCATATTATGCTACCTTATCTATTATATATCCTTTAATTGAAGCACTTAAATTTACATTCGCTGAATTCGAAATATCAAATGATGCTCAAGATGATGAACAAGGTAATTAAAATAATATAAAGCAGACATAATATATATTATAAAATATATAGTTAAAGTTTCCTGATATATTTAATCAATAATCTTTAATTAAATAAATATTAAATTGTTAAATAGATACACCTAACTTTC